CTGACAACCCACTGAACTTGCATTCTTTCTTTTGAAAGTAGAGTATCTCAAGTGCATCTAAATCAGCTGTGTTTGTGCTGTTGGTCATCCATTTCTCTGAGTCCGAAGTCAATAAGTTTAAATCCCATTGTAGTGACTGTAGAATATGTGGGGTGAATGATGCTGCTAGCAATCCTCTTTCGAGAGGCCTCTATCATTTACAATGTTAGAGGAGCAACCACTGATGCAAGAGGCTCTTGTCTTAAGAAGATGCATGAAAAAGTGGGAAGGCGAGTGGTGAGGACGCGACAAAGTGTTTGCAGAGGGAGATAGACCGGTTAATCAAGTGAGTGAAAAACATGACAGATGGTACAGAAAATGGGAAAGTGAGAGTTAATGTACTTTGGCACTTTTGAAATTTACAGAATACTGACGGAAAGAATGGACATGGAGAAGATGTTTCCACCAGTATGAATTATCTTTATTGTCACATGTACTCATTTGAGTACTGTGAAAAGTTTCCAAATCTCCACCTATGGTGCCATCTTGGGTACAAAGGTACCTAGGTACAACCTCTTAAGTACAAATTCTTAGGGAAAAAATATAGAAAATTAAAGAAATAAAGCATCCAGCATTACAGATCATAGGAATAAGAAAAAAAAAGAAATTATAAGTTCAGTATAACAGCCCTTCCAACCCACACCACATGAGCACTTAGCCTCCTGTCACTGAAAGAGAGCCTTCCATTGCCTGACTACCACTTTTGCTGAACCTACCAGTATAGGAGTTGCCATGCTTTAGGTGCCAACTCTTCACTGCTGAGCCAACCACACCAACGCTGAACCCATACTCACCCCTCAACCATGGCCTTGCCCATGACCAGAATTCCCTGCTCCAGGCCTACAGCGACCGCAACCTGGTTCCACTGGGCGTACTATTCTGCCGCCATCTTGCCAGCACCAGGAGTGCCCCCTGCGGGCCTGCTGCAGTCAGGAATCCCTGGCTCTGCTGCCAGACCAGGCTGCTGTAGGGCCAAGGGTAAGGTTTGGGCTGCAGATGTTGCCGTGGCAGTGCTGGCACCTTAGAGTGCACTGCCACTGTCGCTGTCTCCAATCACCGGAGGAGCTTTGCTGCCAGCCCCAAACGCTGGGGAAACATCCTTGTTGCCATTGCCATCACCTCTAACCATCAGGAGGCTTCGCCAGTACACACACAGCCCGGTCTCACTGCCACACCAACCTGCCGACTAACCCACCGCATAAAGGAGGAAAAAAACAAAAGACGAAAGAGAGGGAGGAAGAAAATGAAAGCAAAAGGGAGGGGAAGAAAAAAGCAAGAAGCAAGGTTGTAGCAGATGAGCGCCAGGCCCGCACCCAGCCCTGCTACACCGCCGCCATCTTGGACGGCAAATTTGGGAGAGATTAGGACCTGAGGGCACTGCCTCAGAGTGAAAGGACGATCCTTTATAACGGAAATGCGGAGGAATTTCTTCAGCCAGAGGGCAGTGAATCTGTGGAACTCGTTACTGTGGAGGCGAGGCCATTGAGTATATTTAACGCAGAGGTAGATAGGTTCTTAATTAGCAAGGGGATCAAGGATTATGGGGGAAAAGGCAAGAGAATAGGAGTTGGAAACATATCAGCCATGATTGAATGATGGAGTAGATTCAATGGGCTGAATGGCCTAATTATGTTCTTGTGTTATGGTCTTTTGGCAGGAAGTGTAGCAGAGCTGAATAATATTTAAATGGGGAAAAACTGCAGCGAGCTACATCACGAAAGATTTTGAGCATCCTCCTGCACAAATCGAAACATACAAGATTCTTGGGAGAACTTGACAGGATGGATGTGGGGAGGTTGTCTCTCCCTATGGGGCAGCTAAGGACAGAGGGCATAACCTCAGAGTAAGAGGTCACGCATTTAAGATGGCGATAAGGAGGAATTTCTGCTCTAACTGTAGTTTAGTGTATGGTGCTGTTTACCACCGAGGGCTCTAAGAGGTTGGTTGGTATTGAAGGCTGAGACAGATTTTTGAATCGGTAAGGAAATCAAGGGTTGTTAGGTAAAACTCAAGAAAATGGAGTTGCAGATAATCGGATCAGCTATGATTTCATTGAATGATGGAACAGACGTGATGGGCTGAATGGCTTACTTCTGCGCCTACATCCTATGATCTAACAAGTCATTTATTGTACCATAACATTCAAGTACAGGTTACATTTGCTGGTTAGACCATGCCATTATTGGAAGACAGAGAAGACACATTTGTCCCTTTTGAGATCCAGAGCTATTCTCCCAATTTCCATACCTAAGGCCAAATGCAGTGTCCATCATTAACCTTTTCAGAATCATTACCCTGTACAGCAGTGACTTGAGCGTAAAATCTGAGCTGACAAGTTAATGCATGTGCAGTGCTCCGACTGCACAGTCAGAGGTGCTGTCTTTTGCTTGAGGCATTAAATCTCCATTATTTCACCCAGGTGAATGCTAAAGATCACGTAGCACTATGCAACGTCAAGTGGATATGGAGTTTTCCTAATTCCCTGATCAATATTTGAACTTTTAAGCTCTTGTTGTTTGTGAGATCCTGCCATGTGTGAAATGGCTGCCAGATATTCTACATTTTAAGTAGCAAAGACACTTGGAAACAATATTTCTGTTGGTCTAAAGTTCTCTATGATGTTCTCAGGCACATCACTTCCTTTTGAGATTAATCAATTGCATTTTGTGATACATCAGCTAGAGGAAACCAAGCCATGTGATGGGATCCAGCTCGACTGGCTTTCTCCTGTAACTAGCCCACATAGCTATTCTTTACAAACGAGCCTCAACAGTCCGGGTCAGTTCATCATTCAACCACTGAGAAACTATAAGTAGCAGTCAGTCCTGTCCGCAACTGAGGATTAGACTTTAGTATTTCCCGTTATGATATTGAAATTAGAAGAATGAAGCCCTGTGTGGAGATTGGAGCAATGTCGACCAGGTGGATCTCATTGAATGAGTTCCCTGATTGGACCAGGTTAACAGTCCCAATCAGGGAGCCCTGGCTGACAGATATAAACAGGAGTGCCAGGGATTTCTGCGCACATTAGGAGCCAGCTCTGGGCTAGCTGGGTCAGTGTCATGTACTTTGCACGTGTAAATAAAGGGTGACAGGATATCAACCTCCGTGGAGTAACTTCAGCCTGTCTAGTTCATTACTTCATCAGAATGCAAAGCTGAGACTAGTCATAGCTCATGTATCCATGACTACAGGCTGCAATTAGACAAATGAGCATCAGGAAGTGATTGAACCTGAGTCCTTCCAGTGTGACTCAATGATCATATTCCTGACAGTGGCCTGACTTGCAGCAAGTCATCAGGGAAACAAAAAAGCTGTTTTTCAATGCTCCCTAAGACAATCATTTGGTTTGATGTATTATTGTCACATGTACTTGAGTACAGTGAAAAGTTTTGTTTTGTGTGCAGTACAGGCAGATCATACCATACAAAGTACATTAGGGTAATAGAACAGAGTGAAGAGTACAAAGTGAGGTCAACGTTAAATTTGAAAGGTGAGAGGTCCATTTAGAAGTCTAGTAGCAGCGAGGAAGAAGTTGTCCTTGAATCTGTTGGTACATGTGTTTGAGCTTTTGTATCTTCTGCCCAACAAAAGAGGTTGGAAGAGATTATAAGCAGGTGGGAGGTGTATTTGTTTATGTTCGTTGCCTTTCTGAGGCAGCGAGGAGTATAGATGGAGTCAATGGATGGAAGGTTGACTTGCATGATGGACTGTGTTCACAACTCTCTGTAGTTTCTTACGGTCCTAGGCAGAGCAGTCGCTATACCAAGCTGTGATGCATCCAGATAGAATGCTTTCTCTGGTGCATCTGTAAAAATAGGTAAGAGTATTTCTGGACGTTCTAAATTTTCTTAGCCTGTTGAGGAAGTAGAGGTGGTGCTGTGCTTTCTTGACCGTCTCATCGATGTTGGTGGACCAGGACAGATTGCTGGTGATCATCATTCCTGGGAAATTCCTACGAAATCATCTAATATCGGCACAGAAGGAGGCCATTCAGCCACTTGAGGCTGCTCTGCCATTCAAAGCAATCGTGACTGATCTGTAACTACATTTATCATCAATCTTTAATGCTTCTACCCAACAAAAAATGTTATCCTTCTCCATTTTGGAATCTTTAGTTCATTTACCTCCTCAACAGGCTTTTCTAGTAGAGCATTCCAGATGTTAGCTACCCTTTGTGCAAAGATATGTTTCCTGACATTACCCCTCAATGACATGTCTCTAATTTTAAAGTTTGATTCCCTTGTCCTGAACTCCCTTACATTTCCTTTTTCAACAGAACCGTCACTGCAGATAATTGTCAGCTCCTTAAACACCTTAATTAGGTCACCCTTTCATTACTGATTCTCTGTGGCACACAAGTAGTCAAGAGAGGGACTTGACATTCCTGCTAATTCTCCTGCTAATAACATAGATCAACTTTAACATGAAGGTTTGTGCATGTGTTTTTGGTGCATGCTTGTGTTTTGAGTGCAAGTATGTGTGTGTGTGTTTGTTTGTGTGTGTGTTTGTTTGTGTGTGTGTTTGTTTGTGTGTGTGTTTGTTTGTGTGTGTGTTTGTTTGTGTGTGTGTGTGTGTATGTATGTATATAAAATGGTCTTACCGTACCTTATGTAGGATTGATAGGCGTTTTAGACCCCGCCTGACCTTTGCTTTGGGTGGGTGGGGGTCACTGGTCTTCATTTTTTTTGCTTCTGGGAAATAAGAGGCAGGAAGGATTTTCACACAAAGACTGACATAAGAAAAAAAAGTTTTTATAAAGGCCATGACAGCTCTTAACACAGTTGGCTGTGACAGAGAAAGAATGGCAGTTAGGGAATCGTTTGCTGAAACAGCTCAACTAGAAAGTAATTGTGCTTTGTTTCAAGAACTGTCTGTGACCATCTCCCAGTAATGAAGGGCAGCACCACATTTATCTGGATCTCACTAATTGGAAGCGAAAGGGTTTCCAGGGTGGGTACCTCTTTGCTGAATCTGTTCGGAGAGCTCGCTTCAATCTGATAAAAGTTTTTTCACATCTTCTACTTCTCAGACAAAGAAACAATGATGAGTGAGTCTCCTGGCACCTGTTTTAGAAGGAGACAGTAATGCAGTGATTAGTTCACTGGACTAGAAATCAAGAGCCTGGACTAATGGGTTGAGTTTCCCCAGTTCTGTGGAGGGGGAGGGGATCAGAGCTGGGATTGGAAACACAGTGAGGGATTGGTCAATCAGGCTGATGCACTCCCACCTCCAAGTGAACTTGCCGAAGGTGGGGTCAACAGGACAGGGGCTTCCCATCCAGTATCAGTTAGTAGCCAACTCCAACCGTTAATAAAACTGGGGCAGATCTGACAGTCCCTGCTACTAGCCCTCCTCCCTGCCAACAATCAAGCCTGGGATGTAACTGAAAGTAGCCTCCTCCATGTGTCATGTCGGGAATTAGTCAACCCTTCCCCTCAGACTTTGGATGCTACAGTCATTAGTTGCCCCCACCTCCAAACACACTGGAGGCCTAAGAGTGCTTCCACTTGTAGGTGCCCTCGCCATCTCTTACCTGCCCCAGTGAGGTTGCTCACCAGACACCATTGTGGGTTTTCCTGAGGATGCTCCACTTCCTTGGCCCACTCATCACCCATTAATGGCACTGGGCTCCCAGCGGCAGCGGCTGAGCTGAGAAGCCACTGAGAAACTCTGCCCCGATGTCCCACCCTGGGTAGCTCTGGGTTCTCAACCTGCAGTTGACTCCACAGAACAATATTTTGAAAAAGTGTTCACGTTGGCAGTCAGCCCAGGGAATTCTGAGGGTCCAATCCAGCTCCTGCTTCAATCTATGCAAGCCTACATTGCCAAAGAGGCTTAGAGTATGTGTAAGCTACCCAATACATTAGGGGCTTGATCCTTTTTTTTTGATGGCCTCCCTGAAGATCAGCAAGCCTGTTTTGTACCAATGATTGCACAGTAGGCAAACAATGCAGACAGGTTGCTGAAAGGTTGAGTTCATTGAGGAGGTATTTCTATCCAACTGTGTTCCTTTCCTTTCTCATTGCTGTCACTGTGTTCCTTTGCACTGCTATTTTTGGCTTGATAGTCTTTTATCCCTCCATTTGTTCCTTTCTCTTCTCTCGATTCACCCTGGTAACTACGGGTTAATGCTTTGCCAACCAATCCGCTTCCTTTATCCTCTGGTATTAATTGTTGTGATCATTTGAAATTTGGCATTTTTGTGTACATCCTGATCAGTGAAAAGGCCATGGCTCGCGTCTCTCTTTTTGACAATAAAGTATGTTGTAGAGAATGGGATTGGAGCTGAATGTTACTGTGTCCCCTTGGAATCCGTACTGCACAATAAGCAGGTTATTCTCCATCAATTGTAGGCTACAGTTGCTGAGTCTGTGTTTATGTTGTTTATCTCGGGTAAGATACTATAAGTAACCTTGGCTCCTTAGGTACACGAGGAAGAATCCAGGCAGGATTCTTATTTTTCACAGCCGTCCAGTCAGATCTTTCAGAAATTTTGGATATTTATGCGATGCCACAGTTGCCTGCAAACTCTCACTGTCTCCGCCTACACGGTTACAAATACGAGGTGCTTACGGTCACCCCCAACACAAGTCAACAGCTGCATGAGAGTAGGGAGTGATGTGGAGCATGGGGAGTTTCTTGTTCATTATATTGACACCACAGCATACACAATAAGAGCAGTAGGCCATTCAGCCCCTTCAAACCTCCTTCACTACTTATCAAATCAGCCAGGATCTTAGTTATGACCTCAAATCCATTTTGCTATCTCCCTCGTCTCTCTGTTTGTCAAGAATCTCTGCTTTAAAACTACTCGATGATACAGTCCGGGGAAGAGAATTCCGCAGACTTGCAACCCTCTGAGCGACAAATGTCCTCCTAAATGCGGACACCATTTAAGACAAAGATAAGATTTCTTTACTCTGAGTCTTTGGAACTCTCTTTTTCCACAACGAGTCCCATGAAAAGGGACACTTGCATCTCAAAGGCGACAAAAATGGGAATGAAACTCTTGTCTTAAATCTTGAGCAAGAAAGTAAATCATTGGTTCCTTTCTGTGGTTCAGTTGTAAAAGCTAAGTTTGCCTGATCCACAGCCTCCTGCTGTGCAATGCCCCATTCAAACCTCCTGAGAGCAGTGGTTTTTACCAACTGCTGATTGATAGCTGTCAAAGTCCAGTTCCTGTTTTGAGGTTTACCAACTCTTGGAGAAACCCCGGCTATGTTTTGTAAAGAGTTAACGCAACAGTGAAAAAAATGTCAACCTCACTGCAATAAAACATTGTAGCACTGTTGAATAAGAATGAGTGATTTCCTTCTTTTCTATTTTGATGTTGCTTTGCTCTGTGAACCATTCTATTCTAATATAGATCACAAGATTCAATGGCCTGAATATTTCTAGGCATGTGTTTCAAACAATTTAGACAGCTCCTAATCATGGCAGGTTTGAAATTCCAGTTATGCTGACTACCTCTTTGACAGGTCTGAGTCACTGCAAGACAGTGATATTTTTTCATGTTAATCTTGTCTCTTTTTATCTCTCTTTCACACTCTCTGTAAACATCCCCCTCCCCCACCCGTCGATGGATCGGAAAAGTGGGGAATCCAGTCGCATCTACTGTGATTTTAAATGCCGAGTGCATTCCCCACACCACCCCACCAACTCCCTCATTGCCAGTAGCAATTCCACTCACCACCCTCCCAAACTCATCACTGCTCCTCTAAGCATGGGATGTTTCCTTTCCTCTTTTGCATGAGCAAACCTGTCAGCAGCAGCAGGGAGAGGACCCAGTCTCTGACTGTACAAACAACTTCTGACCCATGAGACAGGACTGCTACCTACAAAGGAGAGCATACTGCAACAGGCGCAGAAAAACTGAGTGACCCTTTGTAATGCTAATAAAACAAACACACAATTTTCATGCCTCTTCCTTTTAAAAAAAACTGATGAAAATATTTCAAAGGAGAGTAGGGAAGTTAGCCCTGGTGTCCTGGTTAATATTTATCCCACTACCAACGTGACTGAAAAGTAGATGAGCCAGTCATAGACTCCCTTCAGTATGGAAGCAGGCCATTCGGCCCATTATGTCAACACAAAGCATCCCATCCAGACCCACCCCATCCCTGTAACCCTGCATTTCCCATGGCTAACCCACCTAGCCTGGACATTCCCAGATATTAATGGCAATTTAGCATGGCCAATCCACCTGACCTGCACATCTTTGGACTGTGGGAGGAAACCCACACAGACACAGGGAGAATATGCAAACTCCACACAGACAGCTGCCCAAAGGTAGAATCGAACCTGGGTCCCTAGAGCGGTGAGCCAGCTGTGGTAACCACTCATTTACCTCATTGCTGGTTGTGGGATCTTGCTGTGTGTAAATTGGCTAATGTGTTTCTTACATTACAGCAGTTGTTCTGACTACACTTTGAAAAGTTGGCAAGTGCTTTGGTATCACCTGCAGTTACTGAGGGATGTGTCAACATACACATTTTCTTTTCTTCTGCGTCTATTTTTTTTTAAATGGTCCCATCATCTTCATTTGGAAGAAAATATGCAAAAAAAGTTATTGCTGAAAATAAACCCAGCAGATCCTCATGAATAGGAAGCCACAGAGAGGGAGATCGAAACTCGATTCTTAGTTTCACTCTTCAGGAGTTTCTTGCCTGTTGGTGTCACTACACAAGGATAAAACTAACAAGGCCCACTACATCCTGTGGATATTTCCCAGGTAGGAATGTGGGATGGACATGGGGATGCAGGATTACAGTGTTGGTTTGGCATCCCAGATTCGGTTCAGCCAGATCCTATACAGAACATCTGGGTTAAGGAAGCCCAGGGCATAAACCAATGGGCTTTATCCAATGGGATATAGAGTACAAAAGCCAGAGGGTGATGCACAGGTTGAGAGTCCCTTACAGAGCAATGAAGGTTAGGGCGTGTGAAGGGGTTGGAAACCAAGCCTATGTGTAGCTTCAAATGGCTCCCCTTCCTGATGTCCAATCTCTTGATTGGGCACTGGTGGTTATGGCAACAAACCTGCTTCCAACTGAGTTAATTCCAGCAACAGTGGGATGAGGTCCTTAATGGATGGTTTCAATTGACAATGATGGGAAGGTTGACCACGTGCATTCCCATCCAGAATTTGATTTTGGTGGAGGAAGAGGCAATGGGGTTTGGATGATTGACAACTCACTTAATTAAATACACAACCTGCTTCGAAGCTCGCCATCAGCAAGAGCAGAAATTTCCCATCCTAAGGTTTGATTCGCAGAAGCTGGACTTGCCATATAAATATTGCAGCTTCAGGAGCAGGTCAGAAGCTGTGAATCCTGCAGTGAGTAACTCCCATACTGACTCCCCACAACTTGTCTACAAGTCAGGAATGTGACGGAATATTCCCCACTTGCTTAGCTGAATGTGGCTCCAGCAACACATAAGAAGCTCAACAGCATCCGTGATAAAGCAGTCCACTTGATTGGCATCACATCGACAAACATCTACCTCCCTGCACAAACAAGGAACAAGAGTAGGCTATTCGGCCTTTCAAGCCTGTTCTCCCCCCCCACCCATTCAGTAAGATTATGGCTAATCTGATTTTATCCATAACCCTACATTTTTCATCCTCTTCACAATCAAGAATCTATCTACTTTGTAAAGAGTCTAAAGATTCTGCATTCATTGCCAATTGAGGAAGGGAATTCCAAAGACTCTCAACCCTCTGAGAGAAAAAAAATTCTTCATCCTTTCTGTCTTAAATGGGTGACCCTTTACTTTCAACCTATGACAGCTCGATCTATAAGATACACTGCAGCAAATCACCAAGGCTCCTTCAGTATCGCCTTCCAAACTTAGGACCTCTACCTAAAGAATACTACTACTTGAGAAGTTCCCCTCCATTCTGACACAGAATTATATCATTGTACCTTCACTGTTGTGTCAAAATCCTGGAGCTCACCACCACCTTTTCAATAGGGATTAGGGATGGGCAATAAATGCTGGTCCAGACAGTGATGGCCACATCCCATGGATTAATTAATAAACTACTACTCACTTCCACTTC